TAGCTTAATACACAACAGTGTTTAAGTAGATCAGAGTGATCAGCATTCAATATAGTTAAGTTTTGCAGTCGTCTTTCCCCAATGAGATCTAAAATTCCCCTTTTTTTCTTATTGTACAAAAGCTCGGTGATGTCGTAGCCTATCTCTATAATGACCTGACAAACTCCTACGAGGATGAGTGGGAGCCAACATATGCACCAGCAACTTCGTAGGGCCCTAGCGTCTGCCTTCTGTACCTTCCAAGAAGTGTAAGACTGCCCAAAGGGAACACATCCGATTTTCCAAGTGCTGTGGAGAGAACAAATGCTCTAAATCCGTTTGGAGGCGATAACAATAGCCATTCAATTTCTACGTTTGCAAGTGTTTGCGAAAACCAAGCACGACTATGAACAAACTTCAGCCGTTGCAAATGATCCAGAATGATGTCAACCCCCAGTCTGCGATGAATAAGATGTTTGTGCCCCATAGTGGCAGCTTAGGTATCTTTACTTTGACCGTTATCATTGGACAAACTTACCTGATAGCATCTTGAACCAGCGCGTCAAGCGTTGGAGGGCTCAAATCAAAAAGGTAGTTTCTTTCTATTAATATACACTTCAAAGCAATTATTCAGAGGGCAATATAAACGTTCTTACATATGTATATTGCAAAACACGGTTGTGATAATCAAAAGAAAGTTAAGGAGATAAATAATCAGGGAGAAGCTATGATCAAACTGGACGCAAAGATATCGAATGGGGCTAGATAAATGCATCGACATTTCAAGTAGTAGCAGCAACTTCAGCAGGATTCAGGGCTGGGCGACCACCACAGGGGTCTTCTCCACTGCAGGAGCAGCAGTGACAGCGGCTGTGCTGCTAGTTGAGATGGGGAAACGAGGGAAGATGCGACGAGGCGAGACAGCCGACTGGACAGCAGGTAGGATGACTGAAGCATCGTGCGTGCTCATCTCTGCCAGTGGTAGTGAAGCGACCGAGTTCGCTGCGGGTGAGACACTCCCCTCTTGAGTACCCCCACGCTTATTGTGTCGCGAAAGAGCCCTGAACTTCTGCATGCGATCGAGCACCTTAGCGCTACGCGATACCACCGGCTCCTGACACCGCATGAATGGCTGCCAACGCAGGTAATAGCCCGTCCACAACTCTAGCCGGTATGACATAGAACAGGGAATGATTAATCGATGTCCTGACACCTCTGCAGGCGTGTAGGTGGGATTCAAGTATGCCTTGATGTTAGAGTTTATGTAACCCCATAGAGAAACAGTTTTTGTACGAACGAAGTTGTTGCGCGCTTCACACTCCGAGTCGAAGAGGAAAGTTCCGAACCTACTGGCATACAGTTCGTCTAGTATGGTGACAAGGAAGTGCTCGTTAAACTCGAATGAGGCGGGGAACTGGATCGTCATTTGCCAAACACAATCAATAAACTGCAGGAAGATGGGCGAACGCTCTTCGGGATTGGATGTTCCCACTTTTGTGGGAGTAGGGGTGGCTGTGAGAGTAGGAGAGTTGTGGGTGAAGATAAGATGACCGCCATCTGCGGGACCACCAGTACGCTGGCAGAATTTATGGCCAAAGGAAACCCACTCCTTCTCAACGAGAGTTTGGAATCCGCGCAGAGTACGATAGTAGGGATCCAGCATCAACATTGCAAGACTGGTTACTTGTGGAGTGCGGTCCCACCCATCTGAGCAATGAACGAGGATGGAGGACTTGTGATTCTCGATCTACAAGGAAAGACGCTTGAGTTAAGTCCAGTTATTTGCAGGTAGGCTTCACGATTGTATTTGAAAATGTTGAACAAAATTCAATTTCAAGACCATCATGTTTGCAATCACGCGTTAATGTTTAAAAAAATTCAAAATAAAGCTACTAGGTTGGGTGATAAGTGCTAAACTTTAAATACTCAAGTATAAATGAATCAGACAAAATATGTTTGGCATATAGTCTGACATTTGGCGAAAATGAACATAAAGTAAAATTGTTAAATGTGAGGTAAACTCTGAATCCTAAACACTAACTAAAATGAATATTACATTGCACTACTCTGCCTCCACCGAATTAGCAGAAAAAGAGCATACTTGGTCAGCAGCAGCAGCAGCAGCAGAGAGAATCTGCTGCGTGTTGTAGAGCCACTTGGTGTCGTGGATGGTTTTGAGCCATGACACATTATCTTGCTGAGTAAGAGTTACAGAATTAATAGCAGTCATCAGCTTCGCAAATGAGGCACGCATTGCATGGAGGTTGGGGATATTCATGAAAGAGTACTGAATGTTGGTGTAGAATGCTGGGTTCTCCATGCCTCCGCCGCGCCCGCGGTTGACCACAGCTGTGAACTAGGTTAACAAAATAGTGGCCTGAAACAATGTCAAACTATACTTATGACCCAAACTTACAAAGCATGGGCCCATGTGTGAGTGTACCCACGCAGTGGGTTTATTTTTCAACGGTGGAAAGACAAAACTATTGAAATTATGCCGAGGAGGGGGTTGAAATAGGTAGCAATAGCAAAACCGGTTTTAAAAACTATAAGATTTCAATAAGTGCTTAGGGCGACGTACGCAAGCAAAAAAGGTACAGACTTGCATTAGTCAAACGTGCCCCAGCAAAAAAATCAGGTCGACTAGAACAACAGATATAGTAATAAAAAACATCGATATGCTTGCCAACGTTACCAAAGTGCAGTGCTTGAATACTTGATGTTTTTAGGAATGATAAAAGCGACGATATATCACAAGGTTTCAGGCCTATTGGAGAGTCGACCAAAGAATGTGTGAAATAGATAAGGCATGCAAAATAACAACGACAACCAAAGAAAAGTACACCCCTTTCTTTATTCAAAGTGTTGCTTAAACGAACACTGGTGCCAATGGGACCTTAGTACGTCTAATGCTAAGTATTCGTTGTGCGCCCGTCGAGAGTGCTACCTTATGGTAAAAGAATTAAATGCAATACAGCATAGTCAACGCCGAGCACTGCTATGCCGCCCTCTGAGTCAGCAAATTGGAAGAGACCAAAGAAAAATATGACTATTTTGTCAATATCTGCAGGTACTTTCACTTATACAGGGATGAAAGGAAGATATTTTCAGCAAGCAATCCCCTTCAAGTTAGCTCCCATTCAGGGAATAGTGCGATATGTGTGTAAGAGAGGATGAAATATGCGTCCCAGTTTCGTCCGTTAGGTGCATCCCTAAATAAATGAATTTCCAGCACTTACAGCTGCATGTGCCATTAAACAGTAGGCGAAGTCGATTCACGTAAGGAGTGAAATTCTTTTAAACTGTGAACAATTAAAACTGCTATTAAAAACCTCACTCAAAAAAAACCCAAATCTGAGATTTAGCAAAACAAATATTCATACTCCAATGGAAGCATGACTGTGCAAAAGAACGTTGAGTTTTCCAAATATAGTACCACTTAAGAAACTGTGTAAAGCAACAGATTCACTGTATGAAGTTTAAACGCCTTAGATGAGCCTATGCAAAAAAAGAGTTGCTGTGACGCTAAAGCAAAACAAGTCACCAGTACCCAACCATAGTTACCCTGAAATTACCCAAATTAAAAGCGCAGTTGTCAACAGTATCACGACCTAGAATTTCAAATGGACCAGGCAGATAAGTAGTGTGGAAATACGTAAAAGCATATCAAGACCATAGCAGAATTAAAGGAAAATGTAACACAAAAGGTTCTCTTAGGCTTCAAGTAGTAAAGGTACACTCTAGCTCCCACAGGCACCAATAAGCAAAACTCGCAGGCGTAATTCTCACACTAAGTGAGAAATTTTGCACATAACACTGCTTTGCGTTTGGGAGATTAAGTAGAAAAGAGGGCCCCAGAGAATACGAGTAGAGCCCAGACAAGGTCAATCCCAGCTGCAACAACAATACATATTTAAACTACGCCTGTCAGCCCTCTATTTTGGCAGGAAGCAGTCCAATGTCAAAAAAGAGAGTTCTTATCTCCACCATGTATATCGGCTTAGCTTCGGTGATTCAAAGCACTATACAAAGGGAGAACACAGGCTACATTGAACTCTTCGCTCCAAATCTCCGACCCGATGACTTTCCGAAATGGGCTTCAAGTCTAATTACAGTTAAATATATCATCGGCTTAACCAACATGAACAGATATTTGATGTTTACGAAACAAATGCGGTGGCACCTGATGTTTCAAGTGACCACAGTTTCCGTCAGAAAGATGCGTCAAAGGGAAAGTTCGCAGCGATGATTGCACTGAGTAGATAGTGTGAAGTCTAACAAAATGGGCTGTAATAACCATACTTTTGGACCGCACATATATATGCGCACACGTTCGCATTAAAACGTTCTTAATGAACTAATTATGCTGCTCTTAAGTAGAAATAAATAGGGTTTAAAATGTTCGACCGAAACATTGATACGCAGACATTATCAATCAAAATGTTCTCGATGACAACTTAATAAATCACCGAACAGAGTACACTAAGTACACCTATAAATCAATACAAACGGTGATAAGTTTTAGCTTATTGATAGTCAACATAAAAATAAGCACACTAATTACCGAAGGGCTCCTAGAAGAATCTTAACCATAAAATCTTGAGTTATAATAACTGATGTAGAGTACGGGGTGAGATTGCAAGCGGATGTGGGGACAGACGGAACAGACCTGATGTCGAGCATCGAAGACGAGGAGGTTGACAGTATTGGCATTGGCCTCGCGAATGCAACGGACAAGCTCCTCGTCAGCCTCGTTTCGACGGCCCTGGACACCAGCCAGAGGCTGAGCGGCGCGAGTGAGACTGGCGCGGCTCTCAGGGTGCAGCCAAGAGAGAACTGGAAGACGGCCACGAGCCCGGTGCGGAGCACAACGGACAAGTAGATCATCCGTTACCTTCACCGGTACTACAAGCACTTCTGGGTAGGTGCGGCACAGTTTGTAGCCCTCGTTCACCTATGTAACACGTACATAGCGTAGTAGCAAAACTATTGGCAATCAAACTTTTAAATGTTAAATTTCGACAGACTCGACCAGACCTTACTTATCCGCCAGCCATTATTCACCACATTTTGTCGGTGGTATTCGTCTTCCGGGCTGTAGACATTCCAACCTGATTTGAGGTAGAGGCTCTTGGCAATACAGGCCTCACCGAATACATAGGCGAAGAGTGGCAGCATGCGTTGAGTTGGGTGAATGGTATCAGTGATATACTTACCCAATTCATCACGTGCTCTGACATCCTACGGTAAGATTACGTAAATGAATATCAGAGTGCATACAGGCAAAACAAAACGAATCTGTCGCATATCTTTACAAAGGAGAAACAGTCCAGCCTGCTGGATTGCTTGATCGGTTCTAAAAGAGCGCTTCAGCTCTACCGACTGAATAGTGGTCAATGGTACAGAATAGAAGCTTAATCGCACTCCTCCATTGGCAACAAAAGAGAGACGGTAGTTGGTCAGCTAGAAAAGAATGGATAAGAACAGGGTTTGTACTACACCTCAATAACTCCGCATGATCCGTCGGCCAGACACAAACAGTTCTCATACTTTGCTACTAATTCCTCTGCTGTCATTGGTAGTGACTGTATCAATTTAGTCTAAATAAAATTGATTCACACGTTAGAGTATTATATAAAAAGTGCAACAACAGAATCCAAGATTAAAAAGATAAAAAACAGTTGCACAATCCAAAAAAGAGTATAGCGCATTCACTTTCCAAGTAGTTCAGCAAACAAACTGAAACATCACCAAATGATTTCCAACACAGTATTTTTTTTGTTCAATCAAGAAAAAAATGGCAGCGCAAGAGCCCATCTTTGCATACGCCGCTAATAGTGAAAACAAACCTGAATAACTGTAATGGAAAGAATTTGTGGACAAAAGGATGCAATAATGCACGAAGTGATTAGTTATAGCAGTTAACTGGGGTTATAATAACAAAACAATCCGCGAATAAATAAATGTGCAAAATCTACAATTCATGACAAACAAGGATTGACCCCGCCAAGACGAAGGAGAAATTGAGCCGAAAAACATTACATTTAAAGTGACGGGTTAACAAACAATAGTTTAAACACACGAAATTTAGAGAAGCGTATAATATTGATGAATTCGTCAACCATTTTAAACATGGATGCGTGATTGTAGATATTGTGTAAATCTGTAAGCTGTTGGAGGCACATCAGAACACCTAATTAAAACCTCAAGTCATCAGCTATCAGTTTCATCCTCACATAGCTACTAGTGTAAATGTTTCAGTGCATTGTACCTTATTCAATATGAGGCTATACGTGGGACTGTTTTCCTTTTCTGGGATTTATTTCAGATTAACGAGGCATTGTCTCGTCCTAATCGCAACTGAGGGTAAGCAAAAGTTTGCTACCTGATAGCTATTATTAGGTCGAATTTTTAAATGCAGAGTTATTTGAAGCTACTGAGAATGCAAAGCATATCCTCCGATTAAATAACAGCATTATTGGGTAGAGGATGTTCTCATGCAGCACTTAATATGTTGCAATGACCGGCGTTAAAGACAATTGAACGGATCATCAAGGAATAGCTTGAAAGCAGAGATGCAGCGTAATGATCTACTTATCTTGTTGCCTGCTCAGTAGATGATATCGCTGGTACTCAGCCTGCATGGATACATCGATTATCCAAGCCAAAGGACGCAATTTCCCATTTCCTACTGCATAAACTACTTAATTCTATTTGACACCTGTAGCCTCCCGAGACTATCCACAGGATAGAAGACACAATTTAGAGCTGAATACATGCATTCCAAGAAGAGAAAAGAAATAAGGCCTGAGTTGGCCCAAAGCCAAGTTACATGTACAAAGGCTAGGCTTACTTTTATGTAGCGTCAGACACCGGTACTGCCACACACCGTCAGACAAATCCTAAAGTGACCGCCGAACATCAGGTAGTCGCATATGCAAAGCATTACACTGCCCCTCTCTTCTTTTGAGCAACGTCCTCAGCGCTCCCTTGGTGCAGATCCCGCGCCAGCCATCACATATTTGGTACTACATGGAAGAACTCACGAGCCAACCACACAAGTCGACAGATAGCATAAGACTGAAGAACCGTACCTGGTCTCCTCGGCAGCTTCAACTGCATCTGGATTTTGTTCGGTCTGACAACCAGATTCAAAAATAGAGGTCTCGAATTTTCGGCCAAGGGGACCCGTTTTGAGGCTCAACAGATTGTCAGGGTCATAGATAATCACACCTCGAGCATCATCAACAAGAACATGCGACACACAAATCCAAATCCTGTGCGATTTGTAGGTGGTGAAGCAGTGCACCATCCGATCGAACCGTTGCTCGTCGGCTTGTCCGTACTGTTCTTTTTCGAAGATCAGTCGATTGATTGGCAAAGTTTAGCAGCACAAACGTAGGATGGCAGTGAACAGAGGTGTCTGTTGGACAATAGATTGTCCCGGACACTATGCCGCTTTTAACAAACGACCAACGAAGAAGAAGTCGCAGAGAGAGACGCCACCTCGGCTGGAGCAGAAGGTCTTCAAAAGCACTTTATATTTAAAAGTCGTGAAAAAATGTCGTGTTCGCTTTTCGTTGGCACCAGTGTAGCGTCCCGAGACCTCTTGACCGGTATAAGAAGTCAGTAAATGCAGTTGGATTCATGTATTCGAAGACGACAGGGCAAATGAGGGGCTGGCTATTGTCCGAAGACAAGCCCACATGCACAGGTGCCAGACAAATCCTAAAGTGATCGCCGAATGGCAGGTAGTCACATATACAAAGCATTACACCTACAGTTGAGATGGCGGTTCCCAAGGCTGGAATTTGTCTCCGATGTACCCTATCCCGGTAGACTTTAACTGCATTTGAAGTGCTAGTGATGCATCATACAACCATCTCGCTTATAGCATGGTTACCATTCGTATCAGGTCTTAAAAATTGTTAGGCAACTTACATTAATTTTGGCACCTTTCTTCATGTGTCTTTAATCAATGGATTAGATCGATTATGCATCAGTAACACTTAGCATTAAGCTAGATTTCTAGAACATTTTGTAAAAATTATACCATTCTTTAAAAAATTTGATTTCGTTGATATTTTGTATTTTGAGCAGTATTTATTAATTTTATGCGAGTCCATTTTAAATTTAGGAACTCAAAGAGCTTGGCACAAATAAACAAATAATTTAGTTTTTTGATCATTTTGAAACACGTCGTAAACTCTTTTTTTGTCAAATTTCCGCACCATCCATATATATATTCCATTAAATTATTTGTTTTAATGCTTCGCACCTTCTGTCCTCTTGCACCGTTCGTTTGACGTCTCTTGTGTTAGTGTTTTACACGCTTTTCTTGTTTTTATTCGCTTCGCCTCACATTTGTGATCATGGCAGCTTTCCCACATAGAAATGGCTTCTGGTTCGCGTAATGATGATCAGCGGCCGCCTACTTGCATCATTGTTCTGGGCATGGCAGGGTCTGGGAAGTCTACATTTGTGAAGAAACTGGTTGAATACCTTAGCTCAAGTGAAAATAATCAACCATATACGATCAATCTGGATCCCGCTGTTTACCGTACACCTTATCACGCCAATATAGGTTTGTAGTCCTGGTCTTGTTTACCGACTTTTCTAGATATTAGGGATACCGTGAAGTTCAAAGAAGTTATGAAACAGTACGGATTCGGCCCGAACGGCGCAATTATGACGTCATTGAATTTCTTTGCAGCGCGTTTCGATCAGGTTCTAAATCTTATCGACAAGAATGCGTCTCGCTATCGCTACGTGGTTTTCGATACGCCGGGTCAAATTGAGGTTTTCACTTGGTCTGCCTCGGGAATGATAATAACTGGGGCACTGGTATGCTTGTCATAGCCGTTTCGACTTAGTTTCTAGGCAGCTTCGTATCCTACTCTTGTGGTATACATATTGGATACGCCACGAAGTCACAATCCTGTTACCTTCATGTCGAATATGCTCTACGCGTGTAGCGTTCTGTATCGGATGAAGCTGCCCTTCATATGCGTTTTTAATAAGGTTAGTTGAACGATGGCAATTGTTAGTATCGAATCTCATTGTATAAACGTTACAATAGTAGTGAAAGTAATAATTGTAATTTCCTACTTCTAAGCACAAAATGAAGGGTATTGCTGCACGTAAATCTTGATCCAGGGCTCAACTTTTGTGTACACATTTTGGATTGTGGTCCTTATGATCGAATATAAGATAGAAAAGTCTTAAATTTTCAGTTTTCATTAAGTAGTTAGCGTTTTTTACCGCAGACGGATGTGATTGAGTGTGATTTCGCGGTTGAGTGGATGCGAGACTTTGAGGCCTTCCAGAAGGCGTTGGACGCCCAGCGCTCAACCACGCTGAACGGAGTAGATTGGGTTGACGGACCTTTTATGGACAATGATTCATCACAATATATGATCAGTCTTACTAATTCCATGGCTCTTGTTTTGGACGAGTTTTACAACGACCTAAGAAGTTGTGGTGTTTCCTCATTCTCTGGAGATGGTATACCGCGCTTTCTTGAATTATTAATGGACGCCACGGCGGAGTATTATAATGCAAGTTTCCTCATTAATCGTTGTCTGTTTGACATTAAGACAGCTTGGCTTTTTATTGGTTTTTATTACCAAATATCTTAGCTCAAGGCTCAGGAAATGAGTTCTTGTAAATGTTGTTCCACATTGGAGAGGAAATTAAACTGATATGTCAATGTTCCAACATTGTTATTTTTTTATGTTTTTTTCATCACGATAGGAGTATTTACCAGCACTTCGAGCCAAAAAAATTTCTCACAGGTACCAGAAGACTCTGCTCAGTCGAAAGTACGGTACGTCTTCTGTATTTATATGTATATTCCTACTCAGCATTGATTTCTCTATCTTATTCCATTTACTATCGCGTTGAAATTTCTGACCAAAGTGCAAAAGCTGTGTAGAGTAGAACAAAGGGGCATTGTCAACTATTTAGTATGTACCTATTGCTAGGATTCGTCACTCCTTGTTTTATGCTTGTTCTCAATTTTGCATTCTGATTACCCTTGAAGAATCCTTTTCTGAAAGCGGATATTTAATGTTTGGTCTTTTTTCAAGGTTATTTATTCCTTGACAAACTAGGTGATGCGACCGATGAAAGGAGCAGTGTGGAGGGGTGCGGTGAGGAGGAGGAAGAGGAGGACAACTTTGATGAAGGGGAGGGGCGACTCCGTGTGAAGCCCATGCTGGTGGACTTAATGGGACACGACGACAATGCGAACTCTGACCCCCTCGTCCATTTGGACGGAGTTGAGCAGAGGCCTGGTGATGGCCAAATAGACGGTCAGTTTGCGTTAGTCTTTTATCCATCCCTGAATTAGTGTAATAAAGGACTTTCTTTTTATTACCTTAGATGTGACTTTTCAGAAGAAGTGTACGATATCGTCGCCCGTGCATTCATCGTGAACATCGCTTCCCTTTTTATGTACAGTCATGATGATTTAATAAAATTATGCTGTGAACACGTACTAGACTTTTGCTTTATCCTTTGTGCGTTTGTTTACCTACTAGTAGTTTTTTTACCAAAATTCAATCCCATTCAAAGTGTTGATGCGTAGCTAGTGTTATTATTTAGCTGCAGTATTGGTATAGGCGGCCATGGTTCTGATAAATTCCTGCTCTTGGATATCATTTTATGGATGTGAGTTTGTGAATTGACGAATTCGACTTTCAACTACAAGACAAAAATCTTGGGTCGACATGTTCGTCGTGGTTGCGGTTACTTGGGTTACGCTTTTTAGGGTTGATGAATCACCTAAGCGAATCTGAGCAAGCAATGCTTAAGCGTCTGGCTGAGCAGGAGGGTCCGCATTTCGGTCACCAGACGCGAGACGAGACCTCGTTTTCGGCGGAGGAGAAGGCTAGGTTGGCTGCTGACTTGCTTAGGCGCAATCCTGGCGAGTTTCTCGCACGATACTACAGATTTCTTTGCTGGCCTGAGGATGCCGAGTGCTTCCGTGACCTCTGGGACGACTACACCGTGCGGCACTATCTCAAGGAGGTGGTCGGCATTCCCTCCCCTTCGACTCCAACTGATGCGAACACTATGAAGGCGGAATGCGAGGCTCTTCGACGAAAGAGAAAGCTGCGCGTCAAAAACCGGCGCTTGGTGGTATGTCTTGAGCACATTTATCCAGAGTCGAAGTGTCTTACAGCCTGGCCTGGAACTCCTCAAGCATTGTGGCGGCCCAAATGCTACTGGCTATAGGCTCTAGTGATCGATCGATTTCATGCTTCCGTCGTGTTAAAACCAAGTGCGTCTAACTCTGAATCCAGTTTCCATTAGTTCCTGAATGATAGATCTGGTTCTTGAATAAGATACGGAGCAATGTAGGTTTCTAATCAAAAACACGATGCATTAAGGTCGGTACATTGAATGATCGATAGTACCAGAAATAAGAATATTCCAGTGTTGAGATTGATGCGAAAAATGTGTGGAGGTGAAGCCAATATGGGAAATTATGGCAGAAATGCAAGCGCAGTTCCTGTAACGATGAATAAACGATTTAAGATCGTTTTTTAAGGATTTCGTGTCTTTTGCCGTTTAAGTATTTTTGGTTAGCTTTCTCCTTTGAGGCTTTACGTCGAATGGAGGCGGAGGCAAAGGCAGATCCAACGGAGGGCTTTTTCTCGTATGAGCAGATGCGCGAACGGGCACCGGAACTGTGGGAACATATGATCGGTCGGTACCTCAGTGATACGGACAGGCGTGCTCTTTTGGGTCACCAGTACGAGTCCTTTAGTGGTATGCTCCTCTCCCAATTGCTCGACACCGAACAGAGGCCCTACAGACGAAGTGACAATCTCGAGGTTGGAAAGCTGTCCATCTATCTTGCACTTTTAAGCACGGGTAGCGCTTCGTACCGACGTTTGGGAGTAGCATTTGGTCTCCGTAATCTAGTTACCTTTTCGTGAACTGGATGGTATCCAGAATCCACAATCATCTACTCATCCTTCACAAAGTTGTATTACTCCACTACATTGATTATCCTAAGTCATAGTGCCTGTTATTAGTGGAGCGTCACATATCCATTTTGTCCAATTCGCTTTATCCGACTTGACCTCAAAGTCGACTGCTGTAACTGTTTTCAGTAGTATAAAGTAAAATAGTAGATAATCAACTTCTAGAATTGTTTGGGTTTAGAGCTAGGAGCCATGTCAAAAGAATATCAAAAACCTTATGTTCGATCATATATTCAGTAAAAATATTACAGGAGGATCCCGATGACTCTGAAGATGCTGAATCTAATCAGGATCGGTGGAACTCTCAAAAACCGAGAGGTTTGTTGATACATTTGAAAACAATGCTGCCCTCTAGTGGCCGAAGAGGGGGAACGCTCGCGACAGGAATTTAGAGAGATGATGCATTCCCATTTCCTTGCTGGACTCGATGAAGACTTCAACTACGAGTAAGTTTTAACTATCAATTATCGAATTTTAAACTGCAGCCGCTAAATAACTGCTAACGCGTGAGGCAGCTCCACTTAGTTTACTCCAACATATCCACTTGCCATCCCTTTTGAGGATAGTTACGATGTTCCACTAATGTTTCCCTACGATTATAGTTCCTTTACATAAATGACGATTGCAAGCGGAATGCTTCCAAATGTTGATGAAAACAGAGGCTTTTTTTACTGGTTCGTACTCATTTTCCTCGCTCTTTCCAGTGCCATTGACAACGACTCAGCGCTTGATGATGAAATGGAGGAGCTAGCTCAAGACGCAGAAGACGTCTACTTTGACTCCGAAAGTCCCTCCGCAGCCCCTCCCAATGATCAGTCGGACTTGGCATACGACGAAGACTCCAGGAAAGATCGTATTTGACCATAGAGTACTTGTTTTCTCCAAGTCTGCTCGAAAGAATTGTACATCACCATGAATCATTATGACTGAGTCGAGAGAACAAGGTGAGTGTCTACGTCCAGGAAGAAATAGACTGAAGGGTTTCGTATTCCTTTTAAAATTGAGGTGACAGAATACGGTGGTTTCAGCGGGTTTCACCGCCGCACAGATAGTTGCAAAACCTCACTTGTGTTACTTTGAATGCTCATTTACTTGATTAAGCAATATGAAATCTAAAACGGACGCGATAGGGAAAGAGTTCAGGAAGTAGGCTTATCAATGGCTTTGGAGCAATATGTGCAGGGTTGGGACAGCTGCTAGCCGCATCTGCTGAAGGTTACTGCTTCCACAGGAGCCACCGTCAAAAGATAAAGAAAAGACATTATCTACACTAGTTGTATATATTGCTAAAAATCACAACTGTATAGGCGCACGAGGGGTGATTTTACTTTAAATCTAATGCCCAGATGGTGAGATGCACCACCATCAGGATCAGCGGCTGCCAGGCAACAAGGTAACGAATGGCGTCCAGGAGATTCCCGAATAGAAGATGCGGCTTTTCCCACCTTTTATTGAAAGTGGGTTAAGGCTAGTAGAGCAATGAATTCGATGCACTAATAGCAGTCACAGACAGTGGCGGTTATTGAACTACGAGATTCGAAATGGCTGATTTGGGTCAAAGTAGGCATTTCGCTGAAGTCCAAAATTGTGATTTATTGGTGGCTTTCACAGCCGAGGATTCGTCCTACAACTAGCCCACAGTTTTGTGAAACGCAAGGAGAAAGCATACTTCAAGGGGTTTGGAATGCACTCAACATATTGCTACGCTAACCATTCCGGCGGTGAGTAGAAATAGCTGTATGTGAGTCTAAGGCTAACGAAGAGCATTGGGAAAAAGTTGGAACATTGATTAACTCTCAGAGGGGCGCGCTCAACTACGTAGAGTAAACAAATCGGACATTATTGTTGACATTTTACGAGCATTAATAGAACCATCGAGCAGTTGTTCAGAGAAGGAATACAATATTAGAGGACGAAGCGTGGTAATAAAACAGATATCGAGAATAAACATTTGAAACCATAAAGTTTGGGAAGGATAAACAAAACCGGGTTGATAAACGCCCCTCAAAACATTAGGGAGAAATAGGAGAACGCAGAGCAGGATGCAGGTGAAAATGTTAGACAACGCAAATGTAGTGCTAAATGGTCGATAAAATCGGTAGGATTTCCGTTGAAGTTCCAACTAGGTCGACTGGAAGCGATAACAGTTTTAAAGTACCTGAATTCATAGTTGCGAACAACCAGCAAAAT